TGAACAAAAAAAAAACAAAACACTTTCCAGATGTTTTCCACTTAAACAAGGAAAAGGCTGAAACCAAATTAGTGTTTTTGTCTTTTAATCATAATTTTTAGCCCCACATTAAATTATGGGTTTATTTCAAGAACAAAGCATCAATTCGCAAGGAAGCACGAGAATATCTGAAAAAAGTGCTTACAAGTGCTGAAAGTATCGTGTATTCCTGAGGCAATCCTATTTGCCACCACCCTTAAAATGAAAATATTTAGTATTGAGCAACTGCTGCTTCTAAAATAGCAGGATGACCAAAACACACACAAAACCAGAGACCAGGATCCCCAACAGAAACGTTTCCAGAGCCTTCAAGGGCGGTGGCTGCGCATTCTGACAGGCTGCGTCGGGGGCAGAGAGAGCAGCTACGGGCGCAGCAGCAAGGCGGCTGAATTCCCGTTACGGCGGAGGACTGAGGACGCCACCATCCGCCCACTCAGGTGCTCCCTACAAGGCTTCTCTACATTTGTTTGGGGATGCTCAAAATTGAGGAAGATTACATCCCATTCTTAACAGGCCAGGTTTACGGAGAGACTTGCCATGAATGCAGAATAGAGTCTATAGTCCAGTATCTAGGCCAAATTTTAGATCTGGGTTGTCAGCTCAAGATGAAAAGTGCAATCCATATTTTAGAGCTCTAAAGGCATTTGGCAACCACCAGAATAAATTGGCTCAAGCAGGAAACAGATGCCAACAGGAGTGGAGAAAGTAGAGAGAAACAGAGTACTTACAGTCTGAAATTATCACCTAGCTCTCCGTGACATGCTTCTGAATTATGTAAGAAAAGGTCCCATTATATAGAAAGAAAGCTTGAAGACTCCAATGATGCAACATCATCAGTGAAAGAAACAAATACGTATCATGTGACTCTGGCACTGTGATGGTCACAGCATAATTCCCTCCGGAAATGCCCAATGTAGCTCAGAGCGACATTAGACAATCACCCCCATACTATGGTCCACAGAAGAGCCACAACAGCCTGAGGAGCCACTCCTGATAACAGAATACAAGAGACGCGACCCAAAAAACACACGAACCCAGGCCAGGAGAAAGAAGTTTTCTTCTGTTAAAAAGAAAATTGAACAGAAGAAAACGAGCGCGGCATCCAACAGGTCTAAAGGCAACATATAAATGAGAAGAAATGATAAAGCAATGTCTGTCGACGCTTCAGGCACCTGAAGGGAGAAATACAAATGGAATCTTTTTACATGTTTTGCAACTGTTCTGGGAGTCTGAAATTTCTGACAAAAGCACTTTTTAAATGTGCTCAACTCTGAAAATTTCACAATGACTAACGTGACCTACAAGGAATTTGGAGCCTGTGAGGAAGTTATTGCTTCTCTGTGAATCCCCTTGCTCAGTCCAGAGTGCTAATATGCAGAAAAAGACAGAAAACCAAGTAGCTGGCTGTCAATGGGTCACTCAAAGCCCAAGAATCTATGCTGCAGATAGGACTTGTGTTACCTTTTCACCTTCAGCAAGGCCAAGATCTGAGAAAACCTACTCACATGGGGTCCCTAGAGGCTGCGTCACAGTCACCTGTCACTTGGAAAAGGTCAAAATGACAAGTAAAATTGGAGAAGAAATGACAGTGGGACATGGGTTTGTTGAATCCCAAGGTGCGGAGAGAGTAGTGAAGAAGCAGCAGTGCAAGTCCCGAGGCCCTGAGGCCTTTTCTAATGGAATCTCAAGAAGGGATGGGTACTCGATCACTGTATAACTGAAACTCAAGCACAAAAATTTCTAAGTCTACAACTGTACCTTGTTTCACTAATAAAAACTAAAAAAAAAAAAAAAAAAGAGACCAGGATCTGCAGTGAAACAGTCACAAAGACTCGGGATGTTCTAGAATCAAGAGAAACAAGCAATGTATCATGCCACAGAACACCAGTGAGACAGTCAAGCACCTGTTCTCTGGAAAGTTCTAGACAGTCAAAGCAGGCAACCAGAAGATTCCACACCTCCCACTCAAGAGTGGTTCTGACCAGTGATTGGTCAGATGGCCCGAGTCTGCTGAGCCAACCTAGAGTGCGAGCCTCTCTCCCCCGCCCCGACCCCATCACAACACCCGACTGTATCATCCCGCCCTTCCTGGGCCTTAGTAACAGCCCACTCTCATCCCACACATGGCCCTCCATGTCATTTGCTGACTTTTCTTGGTCAACTCTCCAAAATTTGAAGTCGTGCTAAACTACTGGGATAATTCATTATATGTATGTATTTGCAGGCTGGCCAAGAAATGTAATCTCTACTTCTAACTGCACTTCTGTGGAAAAGTAAGTTCCAAATGCCTAAAACACCTGGAACAATACTACAACTTCCTAACAAAACAGTAGGTGCTATGTTTGCTGGACAGAATTTTTTAAATGATCTTTAGTATATTGCTGATTTGCAGAGACAGGGCACAAACAGCTATAACTGATGAGATCACCATGGTACCAACACTAATAGTGAAATCCAACTATCTTTGTAGCACCACTCAACACAGTATCAAATTTATTTTAGTAAAATGTAATATCTGTAGCTGACATGGTGCTGGGATTTGTAGCTGATGGCTACAGCCACACACAAGGCAAGTGTTTTACTTCCGGTACTGTCTCCAGCCCAACAACACATTTAAAAATCTTAAGCTTTTTTTTTTAAATCAGAAACAAGACAAGGTTGTCCATTATCATTACTTATATTTAATTTAGAATTAGAGGTCTTGACTAGAGAAATCACACATGAATTATAAAGAATTAAAATTATCAGGGCCAGAGTAATAGTATAGCAAGCAGAGCACTTGCCTTTCATGCTTGCCTTGTGTGCAGTTCCATCCCTGACAACCCGTATGCCCCCTGAGCACTGTCAGTAGTGATCCCTGAGTGCAAAACCAGGAGTAAGCCCTGAGCACCAGCCATTACTTACAGTAGCTAAAACGTGGCACAAATGAAGTGTCTGTTGACAGATGACTAGATAAAGATACATACTGGAATATTACTCAGTTGAAAAAGAAGACGATCTTTTGCCATTTGCAAAAATGATGGAAGGAACTCAAGAGAATTCTGCGAACTAAAATAAGTCAGAAGGAAAAAGAAAGTGCAGGCTGATTACACTTACGTGTGCAATATGAGGGTACAAAATTGAAGATTGAAACAAAAAAGAATACCAGTGAACGATTATAAGAGAACTAAGGCTACCTGAAGAAAATGGGCTGAGGGGAGGAGATACATCTGTGTGTGTTGAGGAAGAGGGAAGGGAAGGGTTAGAGAATACGGTAGTTTTTTAGTCCCTAAGCTTCAGTTCTAGACTTGTTTCTCTCTTTAAAAATATAAACCTCACAAGATACTTACGACCAGCAGTCAAAAACAGAAAATAAACTAATAGCCACCAATGGCAAATTTCCTGATGGCTTACGATGAATGGGAATAGGAGACAATTTACTGAAATCTCAATTTCATCACTAGTCTGTTCAGAAAAACCATCCAACGAGCAAGAAAAGTGCGTATAGCCAATAGATCAGAGATAACGTGATACTCTTGATGAATCTGAACACCAAGTGGGTAGGTAGAGTTTAAGAAAGATCAAGACTGATAAAAATTATTGGTAACAAGCACTATATAATTATTGAGGGCCTTCTCTGGGGGCAGGCTTAGGGGGGTGGTTGGGAAAATTGGAGACAATAGTGGAGGGAAGATGTAACGGTGTTGCGATTGATGTTGGAAGATGAACTGCCTGTAACTAATCATCATGAACAGCTTTGAAAACCACAGTGTTAATATAGTATGTGTGTAAACGAGACTAGGCATTATACTGTATGAAGTGCTTTTAATTTTTTATGTATATAGGGCAAAGTCACGTAGTAATCACTAACTGTCTTTTACTATTTTCTGATTATTCCTTTTTGTCAGGTCTTAAAAAGTTCTGCTGGAATAAGCAATATAAAGTGAATTTGTTATGTGCCAAAGGGGGCAGGTTGGGACTGGGAGGAAAACTGGGGATATTGGTGGAGGGAAGGTCACACGGGTGGTATTGGAACGCTAAGTGCTTAAACCAACCGTATAATGAACAACTTTGTAAATCATGGTGTTTTTAATAAAAATTAATTTTATTTCTTTTTTAAGAATGAAAAGCTTAGTCTGGCTGGAAAGAGAGTGCAGAGGGGTAGGGCACTTGCTTCGCACACGGCCCACAGGACTTTGACCTTTGGCGCCACATGCCATACTGTGAGCTCACCAGAAGTGATCCCTGAGCACAGGTCCAGGAGAGAGCCCTGAGCATTGCTGGGTATGGCCCAACACCCCTCCCTGAATGAGGAGCAATACAAGGGTTAGTATAGTGCTTTCCCTGAAAGGATTTTTAAAAATTTACAAAACAACAAAAAACACATGCCAATAATTCTCTGCTTCCTGTGAGACGGGCTGGTGAGAGCGAACAGGGATTCCCAACAGAGAAGCGTTTCTTCCAGAGAACATAAGCCACAATTTTCCGTAAGCCCGTGTACTTGGGAAAAAAATACCCAAAACATTTGTTAGGGTCAGACTATATATACTAAGTTTTTGAAGAAAACAGCTGGAGAATCTTCAGGTTGAGAGAAGTAAGTGCAATACACAGAAGGACGCATTTGTGGTAATAAGAGTTAAGAGCAGAAAGAGACGCCATGTTGAACTCTGCCCAGGGAGAACTGCGCTCGGAACGCAGAGCTACCCTGAACTCAAACCTGAGGGAAAGTTCTCCAGACTAGGAAAATCGAGGGCTGAAAACCAATCCCAGTTTCCTCACAGCACATGTTTTAGACTAGAATGATTTGAAAACAAAGACAAACACAGAGGCAAGCAGTCTGGACTAAATGGCACAGTCAAAGGAAAGACAGAGACGACGGAAAATCTTAAGAGCAAATATCTGGCTACTGCACGTCTTCGTGATTATGAGAAGAAAAAAATGTGCATTTGTTTTAGAAAACTTGGAAACACAGATGGACTTACCTCTCGAGTAGCAAGCTGGTTACTGAGTTCCTCGGCCTTCTCAATATCCCAGTCGTCCACGGCCTGGTCTATGCGCTTTTCAAGACCTGACTGGAAAGAAAAGAAACCTGAAACTTAAAAGCAAGAAAGAGAACACATCCGCTAGTCAAGAACCATCCCAGGAACACGTGAAATACATTATGTGTTAGACAAGTTCCGTATGGTAGTTGGTGCTACTCCCACTGACACAGGAGAAGGATGCTCAGAGACATTAAATCTCTTCAAGGTCATGTAACTTTTTGAACTATGACAAAGGAGCTGTAAGGTCAGAATTTTGTGACTCCAAGGCCTATGCTTTCCGCTGATAATCATAATAATGTCCTGAGAGTAACAGTCAGAAATTGTGGCATTCTTGGTATGAATTGGACCCTGGGTGTACAGTACTTTAAGGTACATTTCATCCTTCTGTTTAAAAAATTTTAAAGGTAAAGAGAGGCTCACACAACTTTAATATCCAGGGACAAACACCTGGCTAAGTCTTTGACCCTGGATATTAAAGTAGATTTGGACCATGAAAGGAACGTTATAACTGTAAGAATCTTATTTTTATATAAAATGGTATTTGTTACTAGTTAAAAATACAAGAACTGCTAATTGAAAATTTTTGTAAGATTACCAGACTAAGTTGGAATCATCATACATCGAAGAAAAGAAGGGATTGAGTTTTAGTCTGTAGAGATAGTTACTAAAGATTTTTTTAAAGTAAAGTATAGTTACTACAGATTTTTTTTTAATTTCTCTAGCATGTGTCTCTTATAAGAACCTTTCATCCTACAATGGCTTCCATCCTGTACCCTTAACTACCGTTACCACAATAAACAGACTTCTTCTTATCCAATATACAGACCAAAAATATCTCTTCCACTAGTGTATTTCTTAATTAAACAGTCAACAAAGAAAAAAGTCTACAGTCGTTGTGAGATTGAGACTTTCAAAATACTCGCACACAACTGGCCCCGGAAATGCTGGGAATAAACTCCAGCCCCTGAGGTCCATGCAAGTGAAGACGGTTCCTTTCACAAGCCCTCGCCCTAACACAGGACCCGAGAGGAGAAACTGTTCCTTATCTCCAAAGAAGTCTGAGACCTTCTTTCAACAGCACTTCAGTCTCTGACCCAAAGCCACCTGTCTATTGTCCCTTTCATGTCCTGCCAAAATTCTAGTAATTTCCCTTCATACATTTCTATGGAACTCCACCTAATGGTTCAGTCAAGTAACACCCTGAAGCCGCTTCTCCGACATCCCTCACCGTTACCTGGCATTGACGTCACACTACCTTGGTAATTTATACTCTAGGCCAGTGTTATTCCCAAGTGATGGGGAATATTTCTCCCCACCAAAAATCCAGGAGGGGGTGATAGTAGCCTTGGTGCCAATTGTGGAGTGCTTTCTGTTAGTTTCCTCAGAGATGCAGACTTCCAAGGGGCACTAGTGATTTTTATATTTTCCTGAAAGGGGAGTGGGGGCGGGGGGAGGAAGGGGCATGGAAAGAGAGAAGTGTGCTAAGGGAAAGAATCTCCACAAAATGAAGGCTGGAGATAACAGAGTGGGTAAGATGCTTGGCTTGCCCACAGCCAATCCAGGTTCAATCCCCAGCACCCCATATGGTCTCCAAGTCCCGTCCAGAGTGATCCCTAAGCACAAAGACAAGAGTAAGCCCTGAGCAACATTAGATGTGGAAGGAGGGAGGAAGGGAGGGAGGGAGGGAGGGAGGGAGGGAGGGAGGGAGGGAGGGAGGGAGGGATTAAACTGCACACTAAATTATTTTCAAGTCAGATTCCTTTTCTCTTGGAAGACTAATATATTGAGTTGGCTTGCTCAAAGTCACAAGTACTTCCTGAAAGTTCCACTAGCAAAGTTTTGTAATCTAGAATTCTTGCTGAACACAACACTGTGATCTTCCACTGATCCCAAGTCTTCAAGCTGTCCTGTCTTCATTTGGAGGATGATACCCCGGGACTATCCTATCCACTCTCAGTCCCTTTCTGGATTCTCTCCCTCTCTAATCCACAATTCACCATTCACCTTTCCAAACCTGACTCAAGCCAGGTTCTAAAAGGCTGAAACTCAACCAACAACATCAGCACTACCAAGAACTTCCTCTAAACGCAAATTCCTTAAATCAGAAAGTCTGTAGATGGGTCCAGCAAGCCCCTAACGGTAACTAAGCTAGAGTTAAGAAACACAACTGAATCACTCAGTTCTCTCCAATGGCTCATTTTGTTTTGGTTCTTCTCAGCCATTTAGTTCTACTACTTTACCGTTGATAGCACAGCAAGTAAGGTAGGTAAGGTGTTTGCCTGGCATGCGGCTGACCCGGGTTCAATTCCTCTGTCCCTCTCAGAGAGCCCGGCAAGCTACTGAGAGTATCCTGCCTGCACGGCAGAGCCTGGCAAGCTCCCCAGGGCGTATTCGATATGCCAAAAACAGTAACAACAAGTCTCACAATAGGGATGTTACTGGTGCCCGCTCGAGCAAATCGATGAATAATGAGAGAACAGTGCTACTTTTCCATCGAGGTGTTCATGTAGTATCATAAGAAAACTGAAGCCACTGGTTTCACTGAATGCATTTTCTCCCTCTGGTTTCCTTTTTGTTGTGTGTGTGTTATGGGGGGGGGGGAGGGGGCGGGGTTTGCACCTTTGGTGTTCAGTGCTTACTCCTGGCTTTGTGCTCAGAGAACCATATGCAGTGGCAGGAATTAAACTGGGGTTGGCCACATGTAAGAAAAGTGCCTTATCCTTGTCCTATCTCTCTGGCTCACTAAAAGCAGATTTCAAACTCAGACGGGTCCTCAAATATGATCTTGAAAGTTCACATGCCTCAAGTTGTTTAGCTTGCATATTCCTCTATATGGTTATGTCTTTTCTATTTTTCAAAATACCTCGACCTTATCCCCTTCCTTTTCAGCAGACAGAACCTGTCCCCCTATTTCACAGCAGGCCAAGGCAGAGGGAGCAAGGAAAAAGAAGAACCACTATGATACAAGTCCTTTCCACAATCTTCCTGTCATACAGCTCTTAACAAGCATACTATAATTTTTCCTTCTTCATCCTTACTATCTCTAAGAATCATTTCTCTCCCAAGACTAATTCCATCTGTGCCACCCCCTAATTCCATCAGCTTACACATGATCCAGAACCCTGCTCTTTAATTTTTTTCTCCTCTCTTCCCTTTACCTTTTCTCTTTACCCAACAAATAAGCTTATGTGTTTAGATGTCTTAACACAGTGTTTAGATGTCTTATCACAGCACCTTCCTCAAAATGATTTCTTACGTTGGTACTTCATCTCACACTTAATAGGGAGCCATCCCAGTCTTCTTCCTCTCCATCCTCTTTTGTCTTCGTCATTCTTCTGAAATTGCTCTCTCTTGACTCATAAACACCACTTATACTACTTGATTTTCCATTATATCAACTACCTCCTCATTCTAAAAACCATCTCCCCAGATATCCATCTGAAATCTCCCTCCGCTGCTCCTACCATAGAGGAGTCCTCTAAGGTTCCAGCATCAGCCTTCTTCTTCTTACCCTTCACTCTCCCCAGGAACAGTCTCCGTCAAGGAGGCTTCAATGACTTCTGAAAATCTGCTTTGTATTTATAAATAAACCAAAATACCTGTCCTCACACCTGATCAGAGAACACATCTTCACAGACTCGTTTTTCCCTTGGTAAAATCTTGTAGAGTTTTCAATGTTTCACTGCCTAGAGCTTATCTCTGATTCTCCAGGAGAGTTGGCCAACACTTGGTATCCATCATGCCCCCTCACCCCCAAAATCCAGTTATCTTCAACCCCTTGTTCTTATGTTAACTCTGTATTTTTATGGAATCTCGCTCTCCTGGGCCCCAAGCTCTCGCTGGGCACAGTACAGATCCATCTCCAGACTGGTCTATCTTCTGAAGCAGACAGCATGTGCCAAAGTACGTTCTACACTAACAACAGGCAACTGTGTGCCAGCTTGGCGAATTTCCCTACTGCACCTCGTTCCTCTCAAAAGGTACCCCTCGTTTTGCCCAGGCTAAGTGAACACTCAGCACGGACGTTCACCACAGCTTCAGTGCAAAGAGGATGCCAGGCCAACCAGGAACTTGGATCCTTACGTGTGGCTGTAAGAGGCTCCCCAAGAGCTCTCTGTCACACTAACATTTCAAACACATTCAACCCCCTAACAGCAATAATGAGTGTACTGAGACTCCAGGGAGTAAGAAGGGTCATAGTTTTGGGAATTTACATTCCCCGAGGGAATGAAAAATTTCCACTCCATATTGGACTTCCAGAGCTTAACACAGTATCTGCCCTTGGAGCTTTTCGATGAGTGTTTATGTTATAGTAGAAATACAATGCTTTGTTTTGAAGATGCTTTTAAATGGTCTCTCTTTCCATTGGGCGCCTCCTTAAATGCCACTGAGATTTATGAAAACAAAACATTTCCACATCGAACTTCAGCTTTTCTTATGCCCTGAAAATGGGGCAGGACAATACCTGAGACAGCATCTCAGTGACCGTGAGCCTGCCCTGCTCATTCCACGGAGCTTCTTCCCCTCCCACTAGCTCGATCTCCTGGGACTGTACAAGACTTGGTGCTGAATTCCTTACTCCCGCACCTAGAACGGGCGAGCCCAAACAGGAAGCTGTCCTGTGTCTCGCTCCAGTGCCCGGTGGACTGCGAATGCGGCGCTGCGTCTGCTTGCACACGTAACTGCCCTTAGCTGCCACAAAACCCCCGCTTTTAAGCTGTCACGATGGAGGAAAAACAGTCATATTTCCTTCTTCGAGAAACTTCAACTGCTAAGCTGATAAGCACAATTCTCACTTAAAAATCAATCACAATTATAATTTATCTCCTACCGTGAACCAACTCCCACTCTTCAGCCACTCCGAGAAGAGTGGAGATGGATTCAGGTAACAGAGTAATGGGCTCAAAGTCAAGAAATGCGGTCACAGCTCTCAGGTGCTTAAATCATAAGCTCAACTTTCTTTAAAAAAAGATTAGGGTCGGAGCAATAGTACAATGGGTAGGGCTCCTGCCTTGCACATGGCCGACCCA